AATTGGACTTATAATGCCTCAAATGGATTTCATGTTTTCCCACATGTCTCCAAGAATGCTCATGCCAAATTTCAAGCCTTGCATCACAAGTGTGCTCAGTCAATTGCTCAGATGAGTGAAAATCAACTATATTAGGTAAAAAGTAAATTATGGTCAACATACAGTCAAACTTCAAGATTTTTAGTCAACATCAAGGTTTTGAAGTCACATTCATCATTTTATCAAGGGTTGATCATAATTCATCAAGGAAACTCCAGATTCACCAAAAGTCAAAAGTTACTAAATTAGGGTTTTCTTAAGGAGAAGTCAATTGAACTTTGATCAAGCATAACTTCCACATGATTCATCATATTTTTCTTAACCAAAGCTCATTTTGAAGGAAATTAAATTCTCTACAATTGTGTATCTTTAAGCTCAAGTCCAAAAAATGCTTCATTTGAGAGATATGGGCCAAAACATTATAAGTCATTTCAAAAGTCAACAAAAAGACACTTTTTGTGAAGGAAACTTACATCAAGATAAACTCTACAAATGAAAAAATAATCAACATATAAATTGTAGGGTACATCTTGAGCTTTCCAAAAATTCCATGATCACCTTCATATGACAAAAATTAAGAGAGTTATGATTGATGCAAGTTGGGCAATTTTGAGAAAATGCTGGAAACCCAAATTGACAAAACTTTAATTTTTGGGCTAGTGGGCTTATCTTTCAAGGTACAAACATGTTTTAGACCTCATAGTGAACCTATGAATCTATTCATACACCCCTTTGATTTTTATTCCATTTATTTTGATTTTATTTATTTAAATTCAAAATTAAATTAAATAAAATTAAAGTTTTCATACAAAGGTCCAAGTCTATTCTTCTTGACCTAATTTTCCTCTATAAATTCCACACATTCAGACAACAACAAGGACACAAAAACCTTGCAAGGAGATCATATTCCAAAACTTCAAAATTATCCAAAACTAGGGCAAACTTCGAACCCTATTTGCAGCCTCTCTCCAAGAAAGCCAGCTATTCCAATCGATCCTTGAGGCATTGTACGGTAAGAATGGATCGATCTTGATGATCCAAGAGGCCTGAAACTCGTAACTATGCATCACCGCTTTTCATTCTTGCATGAAATTCATATTTTTGTTTTTATCATGCTTTAATCGAAACTATCATTACTAATGTGCTTCTGAGATGTCAATGTACAAGTTTGAACCATCGCATGGCCCCCATGATGCCAGAATCATGCGTTGCCATGTTTGAACCGATTGACTTTGTTTGCTTCGTATCTCATCATACAGGAAGAACTAGACAAAACCAAGGCCACCATTGAACTCGCAAGGGCCAAATTAGGGGGGTAGGATCCCTTTGGATCACTAACACTATTTGTTTTGCAGGTACAAGGAACAAAGACGTCAAAGAAGACGGCCAGAGCTAGGGCTCCGACGCCTCTCTGGCCCATTCCATTATATTTATTATATATTTATTGGTTTCCATTCCCATACAAGATGTAATAGCCACCCCAGTGGCAAAGGTGCGCGCGTTAAGGCTTTGATACATGAGGGTGTGGGTTCGATCCCTGCCTTTTGACATTTCTTTTATATTTTCTCAATTCTTGCAGGTTTAACATACATTGCGTTGCATCCATTCTCTAGACACCAGCTCACGCCTGGCGCAGTGGCAAGCCATGTTGTCGTGAAGGAAAAGGGGGTGAGTTCAACACCCACCCCTGACATTTTCTTGTTTTAATTTCTAACTTTGTTTTCTCGTTGATTTTTCTTCCCCTAAACCCTATTTATCAATTAACCAAAAATTAAAAAAAAACCTTTTTTCTTTAAACCCTAAAAATAATTAGGTTTAGGTTTTTTTATTCACCTTTTAATCAATTAATTAATTAGTTATTTTTTTTAATTAATTAAAATTAATTAGGTTTTTTTTAATTAATCATCATCATAAATCATTTTTCTTCACAAAAACCTAACAAACATTCAAATCACTTTTTTCCTTATCGTTTTTTTTCTTCTTTCATTTGCATTTACATTTCCTAGATAAATTGTATAGGATATCTCCGCGAATGTAATAATTTAGATTTACTTTTCCCGCATTTTTTTATTATGTAATTGCTCCAAGCATGTAATAACCTAGATCTTTATTTCCCGCTTTCCTCTTTCACTATTATGTAACTGCCCTAAAGCTCTGTAATAGCCTAGGTTTACATTTTCACCTTTATCTTCTGCTACTTAATCTTCTATGCAATTGCTAGTAATTAGGGTTTGTATGGAAATACGAAAAAACGATAGCAAAACCCTAATTTCAAGAGTAAATAACTGAAATAAATACACTTGCACACTTGCACCTCTAGAGTATCCTCTCTTTGTTTCCTTTGGAATAATGGTCATGTCCCTCGAAAGAAGGGATGCTTTAGCAAAAGACCCTCGATACAAAAGATCATAGTCCCTCGATGACCCTTCAACGTTGCCTTTCAAACAATGATCTAGTCCCTTGCGAAACTGCTAAAGCATCCTTACAAGTTGCCTTCGATGACCGTACGATGACCCTCCGCTTGTCCCTTCACATCCAACAGATAGGGCTACCTATCAACTAATGGTATAGATAACATTATCTCTAAAGGAGAAGGAAAAGAATAAGAACGATCTTGAGTAGGTAAGATACTTTTAATTGCTTGCTCAAAAACTTTAAAAAAACCAAACATTTCACACGACACTTTCAACAAATATTTTCAAAACGCTTTGTATACATTCTTGAGGACTGATAGAAGAATCATTACAAAGTTTGCCTTACATTAGAAAATTTCAAAATATTTTCAAATCACATACACAAAAAGCAAATTTTCAAAGTGAGCTAAGTAATTAAGAGCCCGTAGAAAATTATAGATGAAAAAGGCGCTAACACCTTCCCTTTTCATAACCCTACCCCCCCCCCCCCCCCCCCCCCCCCCCCCCCCGCCCCCCGAATTCAAAATCTATCAAGTTCTTTCCTGATCTTTTCACCATTTTCTTATTGAATAAAAGAAAAGTCGATGGCGACCCTTACTATCTGTAACATTTGTGATAAAATGCAAAACAAGTTAGTTCTCCCACCGTATTACAAAACTGACGACTCTACTGGGGATATACTTAAAAAGAGGGGTTACCTTAGATTCTTAGATCAATTTTACTTAATTTATTTGTATTCTTTGTTTGCTTTTACTTTAAGGGTTGCTTGGGTTTATTTTCTTTCAAAGATCCTACACCCAAATCTAGGGATGACTTAGGTAAGTAGCAATAGAACATGGAAAATATACGACGTAGACCGATATGGTTGAAGTGATGGCTACGTTAGTGTGACACTTTGGTTTGTATCGATGTTCCTTGAGTCAGTCGAGGATAACATTGGCCTTTTGCATGGTGTCATAAGAATTAACTGACTTCTAGAACCTCAATTGACCGATTTTGGACATTATAAGGTAGTGAGATAGACGAATTTGGTGCAGTCCAAGGCTGGTTAATACTCGAAGCTACGCTCATTGAGATTCGACTTTCGGGATATTTTGGTGGCAAGTCAGTTGTCGTGCTAAAATAAAACCTGCAAGAAAGATCGGTGATATGAGCTTCTTAAAACCCGGTTATTATTTTAGGACAGGTTGAACCAACTTAACTTCAATAGAAAATGGTACTTACCTATGGACGTCATGCAATCCTTTAAACCTAAGGCTCTTGTGTGATTTTTTTTGTGTTTTCTACTTGTTTAAACATAACATCACGACATCATATCATCATGACATGGCATTTTCATTATCCATTTCAAGGATCTTAGGGACCTTTGGTGCAGGTTTATAATGAACCAGAGGTCCTCCCAAGCGAGCTCAAGACTGTGATATCCCATCAACCGAAGATGAAAACCAGGATACAGATGGTAAGAGTGTGAAGGCTGAGAAAGGAAGCAACCTTGGTTCTGACCAATATTCTGATGAAGAAGAAGAAGACTATTCGGACGAACAGTATCCTCCTGCTGATGAAAAATACAAACACCAGGAAGATCGTCTAAATTTAATGGAGATCCAGAGAGTGCCTGGGTTGGATTTTGAAGATCTGGGTTTAATCTCGGGAGTTGTTATTCGTTATAAATTCAAGGCCCCCACTTTTGCAAAGTATGACGGTGTTTCTTGCCTAAGCTTCAATTGAGGTCTTATGTCCAGAAGATTCAACCACACACTACTGATAGGAAGTTATGGGTGCATTTCTTCAAGAAAGCTTGTTGGGAACACATTTGAAATGGTTCTATCAACTAGAAGGGACCAATATTCATACTTGAGAAGATTTGGCTGCTGATTTCTGTTGCACCCCAAAATTTGCCCTCCTAATTTTACTTTTATCTAGCTTAGGTTTTGCATTCATCTCCATATATTCCATTAGGTCATTAACATAACATGTATTTTCATTCAATAAAACACCTTGGTTCAAAAGGTCAGCAATCACACAAGATAGGGTTTCTCTTGGTGTATTCATCAAATAAAGATTGGTTCATCTAGTTTTCCTTAGTGTAATGAGTTATGGAATTAGGGGTGTGAAGTATGTTTATCATGGACTTCTTTCTCTTCAATCTACTGGTGTATTTTTCTCCAAAAGACACCAAGTTCTTGGAACAAAGTTTATTTCTCTACATATCTAGACCAAGGTTTCAATCTTTTGTGGCAGAGTATGGAGGAATTAGGGTTTTTTACGACTTTAAGGATCTCATTTTTAATCAAGGGTTATTTGAGATGCTCTTTCATCTGTGGTTTTCGTTTCTTTCAGGAGAATCATGATCATTAAGGTTTCTCTATGCCTTTCAAGGTCAAGATTTGCGTCTCTTTTAATAACCTTGCCAATATTTTGGATTCATACCATGATTATTTGAATTTGTACAAAGGCATTTAAAGGAAATATTGGAGAAAAAGACTTGGCATTACAAAATCAATACTTGATTCAAGTTTTCTAATGGAAGAATTTGAAGTTAAATTTGGGAGCAATGGAAGAAAAGATGCATATTCAATTCAAACAATTCAAATTTGGAAGAGAACCATTATATTACATTTTCTAAAAATCCAAATTCATTATAAGTTCTGTTGTTCATCACATTACATCAAGAATCCACAGAGGTCTATTACAAAAATTCATCTAACATTACAAAAGCCATTCAAAATCACCAATTTCCTCTCCATTTCCATACTCAAAACAGCCTTGCAAAACATGTCCATAGTGCAATATCCAAACAGCTTACAAACAAGGCCACGAACCAGTTCCAATGCAGGCAGAAAACCAGCCCAACACAGATCAGAAACAGACCCCGGTATTGAAACCACAAAAATGTAATAACAACCATGCACTCATTTGAAATATCAGGAAATAAATCGTGGAAGAGTATATTAGTAAATCAAAAATAAAATTAAATCATAAAGCAGAATTCCAGCTCAGCAAAACAACTATATCTAAACTCATCAGATCAATCTCATCCCTCCAGTTCTTGTAACAAACATTCATATCCAAGGCTGAGATCCATCGATTTTGTAACTAACTATTTCCAATCTAACAGAATATAACAAAAAATATTACCGATTCATTTCAGTCTTCAACATTCGGAAGAATCATCACCAAAATACTCCAAGAAATCTATGACTTCTCTTTTATCTTTCTCTGCATGTCTTGATCTTCATTCTTCATTTTTGCGGAGGAATCACTAGAAACTTCTCATTCTCTCTCTCTCTCTCTCTCAAACCTGCGCTCATGATCATTATTCACAAATCACAGAGGAAAAAGTCAAGAACTCACCTTTATGCACTCTCTCAACTTTTTCGGCTTCATCTTATTTGATCATGATCATCTCGGCAAATCTCAGAACGATCATTCACATAATTTTGAAGTCACTCTCAATTCCCTCTGCTCTGCATGAAATCTCTCTGAATCAGAGCACCTTTGATCTCTATTCTTCATTGTATAACATCGCAACTGCATCAATTCTGCATCATATCAACACACAACTCTCACGTATCAACAACAAATCTAGAAGAATTCAACATTTCTCATAAACGATAGAAAAGTAACCGAAGAAGCCGAAAGGAATAAGGAGAAGATGAATTTACCTCTAGATTTCTTGCTCAACGTCAGTGTTCAATAGCCACAGGAGTATCTTCAGCTAGTAAACTTCGACATTCCTCTGCTTTTTTTATTTCTTTCTTTCTACTGTTTGTTGTATCACGGAATCAAAGTGAGACAGAGGCGTGATATACGAAGGAGACGAAACTTAAATGAGACGTAACTTTGAAGAAGGAGACGAAACTTAAATGAGACGTAACTTTGAAGAAGGCGACTGCGGATTTGAGATGAAGAACGAAAGCGAGATGGATTCGAAACCATGAGGGAGATGGTGGCGATGTCGTGTTTACAACGGAATGAGGTAGATGATGAGGAAGAAGCTGTGGCGGTGAGGTAGTTTCAAAGTGAAGAAGTGAGCGGCGGATGAGAGATTGAGGGAGAAGAGATTTTTCTTTCAGAGGAAGTTCAATCATCACACAACTCAACCCTAATGTCACGTTGTAATTCTTTTTATTTATTTATTTCAGATAATAAATTTTTTTGAATAAAAATCTAAAAAAACATAAAGGATGGAATGTTTTATTGATGGACCCGGACCATGCTATTGCTCCATAAGCCCAATCGATGGTTTTTGGAAGTTTGTTAAGTTGTGATACAAAAAATCTATTGGGCAATTTTAGAAAGACCTAGCGCCTATGCTATATTGTTACACCATACCTCCAGAATTCCAATTTGCACCCCCTCTTGAGTTTTTTTTTGCTAATTACAATTTCTTTTGAATAGTTTTGTGAATTGCTTAGATTTGTTTAAAAAAATTTACATGATAAAAAATAATAAAATCAATAAAAATTGTTAGATTTTTAAGAATTAAATCCCGATTATCCGATTACTTGAGATGTATAATTCACCTTTGCTTGTTGAGATTGATTCTTATGCAGGATTATTGTACGATATACTGATATTCTTGAGATTTTAATTGTGATTTATTTTCACATTGATGATGCTTTGACACTTATTCCGAGCATCTGATTTCGGACTCTTTTCTTTGATTGGTGAAGCTTTCGCAAAGATCATCAGGTTTCTTTGCTTTGATACGCTTTGCTACAAATTGATATTTGTTTGGTATTTTCTCTCGTTTATTAGCAGTGGTAGATTATCCTTCATGGATAACTAACATTGTGCCTGTACCAAAGAAAGATGGCAAGGTACGCATGTGTGTGGATTATCAAGATCTGAACAAAGCAAGCCCCAATGACGACTTCCCGTTACCTCACATAGATGTTTGGGTAGACAACACGGCTCAAGCTTCGGTATTCTCATTCATGGACGGTTTCTCAGGCTACAATAAAATCCAAATGACACCCGGAGACATGGAAAAGACTACCTTTATGACACCTTGAGGAACCTTCTGCTACAAATTATGTCGTTCGGTCTCAAAAATGCAGGGGTAACTTATCAACGAGCCATGGTCACACTATTCCATGATGTGATTCACAAGGAGTTTAAAGTGTACGAAGATAATATGATCGCTAAATCCCATACGGAGGAGAAACACATCATACATTTACAAATGTTATTCGAGCAGCTGCGCAAGTTCAAATTGAGGTTGAATCCGAATAAATGTACATTTGGCGTCAGATCAGGCAAGTTGCTAGGTTTCATTGTAAGTCAGCATGGTATCGAGGTAGACCCTGACAAAGTAAAAGCTATACAAGGGATGCCAGCACCAAGGACCGAAAAATAAGTTTGTGGTTTCTTAGGGCGATTGAATTACATCTCAAGGTTTATATCGCATCTAACAGCTACATGTGAGTCGATATTCAAATTATTACAAAAAGATCAAACAGTAGTATGGAATGATGATTTCCAAACAGCCTTCGAGACAATAAAGCAGTATCTACATGAGCCACTGATCTTAATGACACCAGTTCCTGGAAGACCACTCATCATGTATTTGACAGTGCTCGAAGGCTCAATTGGTTGTGTTTTGGGACAGTAGGACAAAACAGGAAGAAAGGAGCATGCCATTTACTACCTCAGCAAGAAATTCACTGACTACAAAACTAGGTACTCGCTCCTCGAGAAAACTTGTTGTGCTTTGGCATGGGCTACTAAGAGGTTGAGACAATATATGTTAACCCACACCACATGGTTAATAACAAGAATGGATCCTCTAAAGTACGTGTTTGAAAAACCAGCTCTTACAGGGAGAATCACCCAATGGCAGATGCTATTATCAAAATACGACATCCAATATGTAACTTAGAAGGCCATCAAGGGTAGTATACTAGCTGATCTTCTAGCTCCCCAACTGCTTCCAGAATATCAACCTATGAAGTTCGACTTTCTAGACGAAGATGTCATGGTTATAGGTCACTAAGAAATACCAGGACCTGACGAAGAACCCGAGTCAGGGGCGTGTTGGACACTCATGTTCGATAGGGCTTCAAATGCACTGGGGCACGGCATAGGAGCAGTCTTGACTTCTCCAAAGAATTATCACAAACCCTACACTGCAAGATTGTGTTTTGACTGCAACAACAATGTCGCCGAGTACGATGCTTGTAAACTAGGATTGAAAGCTTCCATTGATATGAGAATAAAGCACCTCGAAGTATTTGGGGACTCGGTATACCAAGTCAAGGGCGAATGGGATACTAAACATCCAAAATTGATTCCATATTGGGATCATGTGTTAAAGTTAATCGCGGAATTCAGAGATCACTTTCAGTCACATCCCACGAGAAGAAAATCAAATGGCAGACGCTCTAGGAACTCTATCAGCTATGTTCAAAGTAACTTGGCCAAACCGCGAACCACACATCATAATTAGACACTTTGAAGGGCCCGCACACTGCCTTGCTAATGAAGAAGGGCTGGATAACAAGCCTTGATTTTACGACATCAAGAGGTACCTCGAAAAGAAAGAATATTTGGAAAATGCCTCTATCATTGACAAGCGGACCCTGTAGAGGTTAGCCTCAAAATTCTTTCTGAGTAATGGTGTGTTGTACAAAAGAAAATACGACATGGTACTACTCAGGTGTATGAAGAAGAAGGAAGCAGATACGCTCATGATAAAAATCCACGAGGGAACTTTTGGAACTCATATAAATGGGCACACCATGGTCAGAAAGATTATGCGGGCAGGGTATTATTGGTTAATGATGGAAGTCGACTGTTATCACTACACGAAGACATGTCACAAATGCCATATCTAAGCCGATAAGATAAATGTGCCACCAACTCCTCTGAACGTCATGAGCTCCCCTTGGACATTCTCAATGTGGGGAATTAATATGATTGGCATGATCGACTGAAAGCGTCCAACGGACACCGTTTCATACTAGTAGCCTCTGATTACTTCAGAAAATGGGTAGAAGCAACATCCTACGCCAATGTCACAGGTCAAGTGGTTATGCGATTTATCAAGAAGAATCTCATATGCAGATACGGGGTTCCAAGCCAGATTATTACAGACAACGGGTCCAATTTGAACAACATGATGATGAAGGAACTGTGTGATAATTTTAAGATCAAATATCATAACTCCTCACCATATAGACCCAAGATGAATGGAGTTGTCGAGGCAGCCAATAAAAATATCAAGACAATTATTCAGAAAATGGTGAAGACATATAAAGATTGGCACGAAATGCTTCCCTTTGCTCTACACGGCTATCACACTTATGTGCGCACATCTACAGGCGCAACTCCTTTCTCTCTAGTATATGGCATGGAGGCAGTACTTCCAGTTGAAATAGAAATACCATCTCTTCGGGTTCTAATGGAAACAAAGTTGGAAGAAGAAGAATGGGTTCAAACGTGACTTGATCAGCTCAACCTCATCGAAGAAAAACGCTTGACAACTTTATGCCACATTCAACTACATTGGAAGAGGATGAAGAGAGCATTCGATAAGAAAGTTCTTCCTCGAATATTCAAAGAAGGGGATTTAGCGCTCAAGAAGATTATATTACCTCGCCTCGATTCACGTGGTAAATGGACACCCAACTATGAAGGTCCATACATAGTGAAAACAACATTCTCTGATGGTGGTCTCATCCTCACAACAATGGATGGGGAAGAACTACCGCACCCGGAAAATTCAGACGCAGTCAAAAAATATTATGTATAAAAAGCTCTCTAAGCTCGAACCCTAAATTGGTGACTTAGGCAAAAAGGAGCGTCCCGGTGGATCGAAAACCCTAAAGGGCGTTCCAGGAAAAAATTAGGGTCATACAAAAAAAAAACTATCCTGGTGGACTGAAAAGCCGAAAGGGCGATCCAGGCAAAAATTAGGGATTTTATTCAAAAAGAAATAAAGAACAAAAAGACTGCGATCTAAGAACTACAACTACGAACCATAAAGGGGGAGATGGGTCTAAATCATATGACTCAGAAGAAAATGAGATCGGATCCATTAAAAGGACATTGGGGAAACTACAGTAACAATTATCATTTTCATTTTCATTTAAAGTCTTGAAAATTTTTGTAATCACCTCTTTTAAGGAATTACCTTTTGTAGTTTTGCCTATTCAGAGGCATATCAATAAAACATTTGCTTTCTTTAAAATTGAGTTTTTCCTATTTCAGACCTGTTTACAAAATACTACACTTATTACTTGTGAATATTGTGTCGAAAACATTTCGGGGGAATTGAAAAATAAAAGCATTTGATAAAACATCGAAAAAACATTTTTGTTAGAAAAGCATCAAAATAAAATCCACGTCTACGTCCATACACATGTCTATGCCCATGTCTATGCTCACATCACAAAAGTCTGCGTCCACACATATGCCAATACATATGCCTGCACTTACAACACAAAAGTCTACACATATGTGTATGCCTACACCCGCACCTCTGACAAACAAAAATCAAAATCCTTGCTAAATACTTTTCACTACATTCAAATCAATTCAAAGATACCACGACAATACAACATACAACACCAAGGAATTGGTAACTCAAAACCAATGGTTTAATGGAGAGACTGCCAGAAACAATTTTCATAACATTTCAAGGCATACACACATTGTGTATACATTTTGCATACATCATACATACACATTCAATACACATACACTCAGGGTTCCATATCAATATCAGACATCATACACATATATCATACAACAAATAAACAATCTCACCCTCAATTCAGCTATCTAAGGGCCAATCAACAAAGCACACTTCTTCTACAAATCCAACCCATCACCTAAGACTCCACGCAATGATGTGTTCAACCCATCACCAAAGACTCCATACAGTGATGTGTTCATTACAACGTAGCACTACCTATGTCTCCATGCAGTAATGTACAAAATCCAATACATTGCTTAAGACTCCACGCCGTAATGTTCTAAATCCAAATAGGATCTGTCACCTAAGGCTTTATGCAGTGATGTGTTTAGCCCATTACCTAAGACTCCACGCAGTGACCTTTCCCCTCTACAATGTAGTTCATTACCT